GTTTATAACTCGATTCAATTTAATTTCATTACACGTATTGCGCGCATCGTATGCGTGCGTGTGTGTGTGTGTACGTGTATAACTGATTCCATATTAATAAATTAATCTTGAATTAAGATATAATTAGAAACAAAGAAATTATCAAGTAATTTTCGCGCCAGATGTTACTATAAATTTAATAAATCTCATAAAATATTTCTTTTCGTGGAATAAATTATTACGGCATAATTTATATGTGCACTAAAGAAAAATTTACTAAATTTTAATACACATTTTTTTGTACATGTACTAATAAATAAATACAAATCTACAGTAAATAAATTAATATTTACTTAAAAAAATTATAGTTAAATCAAATTAATAGTTTCTATATCAAATAGATAGAGTCCGACCAAAATGTCGGTTTCGGTCAGTTTCGGGCAAAAATCAGGGTTTCGGTTTGATTTCGGTTTCGGCTGAAATTAAGAGAAAATTTCGGTGGGTAAACCGAAACTGTACAAGTTGCAACGCGTCGATAAGCGTTTAAAAAAACAATTGTTTGATTTTCGTTATTAACTCGTTGATTACGATTAAGACAATTTGAGTACAAACTTTGATGTGATCCTAATAATAACTGTGATTTGATTTCTTTAAAAGTTGGGGTTGCACAATATTATCATATAATTATATTATAGTTAGATATTTTAATAAAATCTTGTTTTTTTAAAGAGTATATAAATTTGTCATGATTTTTTAAAATCAATTCGTTTTCGACCAAAATTGAGTGACAATATTTGTTTTTGATTTCGGCCGGAGTGTCAAAATGTATGGTTTCGGTCGGACTCTATAAATAGATGTACGTTTACACATTTAGTAAATATTTACTTGGAAGTATTTAAACAAGTACTTATTAAAGTTTAGTATTTTTTAGTGCATGATATATATATATTATATATATATATATATATACAAGCTTCTGAAGTTCATAAAGTCTGCTAATTAGAAACAAATTGTAGACACAAGAGTTTTAATGGGGTCGAACGTAAGCACGTAGATAATGGCGCGTAATTGTGTTACTAGTGCTGTGCCGTGACGTAATTTCGTTTGTCCAGTGTGTAGTAACGACCGCTTCTCCGTTCCAACTCGAATATTGCGAGGAAGAGGTGCGCGCGATCGATTCGCGGCTATAAGCGGTACGATGCCATCGCTTGCCGTCAAGCGCGCATTCCCGAGCTTTAAAACGGCGAAAGGGAGCACACGGTGAGACTTGAGTTAATCGCTTCCACGGTGTGTAATAAGGTTAAGTTCGTACGAGCGTGGTGCGAAAACGCCCGAGCGTTGCGCTGATGAGAACCGAGTCAACCGAGTCCGGGCGGCGACGACGACGACGACGATAACCGAACACGCGCATAAACGGCTTTTGACGTGCGGTTAGTGGCACGAGCGCGCACACGGAGATATTCGACAGAAGATAACATAAAACATGATAATAACGCCGGTGACACCGAACCGTTATTGGCGGAAAAACGTTGCTTTCGTCTGGTGAAAGTAAAACGAGAAATTATTAAAATGACGTGACGCGCACGATACGATATATTACGCGCGATTACGTACTCGCGGAATTAAATATGCATAGATTCTTTTCATATAATGAAAAAAATACGTTCGCGTGTTCAGTATAAAATTATTCGTAAACAGAGAAATACAGGCATGGATTTGATATACGAGGACGTGTAGAGATATACATTTACATTTAACGTTTTCTAAAATAAGACATTCAGATTTTTAAAACAATAACTTTTAAGAAGTACGGTTCAATAACGTTTATCAAAGTGCATTTGGTTGCGCGTTTATTAGCTTGTTATCAGTTATATGTAAGACACATTAATGTTACACTGTTATCAAATATCGCGATTCAGATGATAACCTTCATCATACAATGTATTGATTGGAATTAATTCTATCGTATTTTTTTGTAGTACATAAAATTTGGAAAATTCAAGTGTTCTTCACATTTATTTCACTTTATAATAATTTTCGTTTGATACATTAGTGCATACTAACCCTAGTTATACACACTTTTTTTTTACTCTTGATCATTGGTATACACACTCGGGTACTCGGAACTCCTTCCATATTTGTTACCGTAACTTCCATAAAAATGGACATATTTCAATTAATTTTTTTTTTTCAATCGATGGAAAATTGATTAAGGAATAAGTCCATGATGTGTAAAAGTCGATAGAATTAAAGAGCTTCGAGATATATAGGTTCAAAGAAAAAGAAAAGTTCAGAAACACGAAAAAAATCTCGATTTAGCATCGAGATTTCTGGGACCCCAAGGTGTATAGCTAGAGTTAAAACCAATGTACACTGATTTAATATAAATGTAAAAGTAAAATGTAAATACTTGGAATTGTAAAACACATATTTTATGTAACAATACAATAAAATGTAACAATAGAAAACAAGCCCGTTAAAGCCAACTTTTGTTTTTCGGATGCACAATTTATTTACGTGTGAATTAAACAAATCATATCAATTAAATAATATACGTTTCGACCATTACATTTTGATCCTTGTCAATATCAAATTTAAAACGCTACGCTAGTATTCATGACTTCCAATATCTTGCTCCATGACAATCCTGTCTATTCTTCTTTATCCAATTACCAGATTAGCTATATAATAAATTGTCATATCAATATAATCAATATCATCACAATATAAAATACTTTAAATATAGGTTACAATATTTTTGACCTAACAGTTCTTTAACTAAACCATTACAATTTTTGTCTAATTGAGACCTAGTGTACTAGTACTATAATATAAAGTTACAATATTGAAACAATGTCCATTAGGAATATAAACTTATACAAAGCAATAAATAAAGTGTATCGTCAAATTACATAACGTTAAGAATTGAACCATTGAAATTAAGATTCAAATACGAGTTAATCACATTTTATGTCATATATATAATTTATCTAAGTTGACATATGAACATGTAACATAATAAAAATCGTAATTAGAAAATCAGTATCAAATTAGAAAAATGAAAACAATGGTATCAACTTACATAAATTGAAAATAAAGTCCTATACATTGTGTCAAAAGTAGAAACATATCGTCCAACAAGTTTACAGACTTTCTGTGAAAAAGTTAGAATAAAAAAAAACCTAAAATTAATTGGTCTAATCCTCAAAAACTGAATGACAATTTAATTATATTATAAACGTACCAGTGGACCAACATTCAAAAAACGACTTCAATCGTCATGCGGTGACGACAGTCAGAAACGTAATGAGAGTCATAGAATACAAAGTCACACAGACACTGAACAACAATAATATGACAAAGGAAAGCACCGCGTTACGATTCCACCAATAACTCCAAGTATAGTGGATTTAACGTGTACGTCGTTTTGTAAATTTAAACTCTGCCTCTGTTTCTTTATATGGATCATTTCCGAAATCAATCTTTTATTGAGAACCCTTGTCTTTATCCAATATCTTAATATTTTCCCAATCAAACTCATGTTGATGACTAATTCTATATTCTGTAATGACGAAATGCTGTGTGGTGTTCCAATTAATGTGATTTCTATGTTCGTTTATTCTTGTCTTCAAACATCTACCAGTTTGGCCCACATATGATGCATCACAATCTTGACACTCAATTTTGTATACTACGTCTGTATGGGAAAGTTTCGATCGAAATAAAATGTATTGAGAATTTCACGATTTAACCGGTTTCTAGATTTATATTAAACACACATCTTTACATCAATTTGTGTTTTAATATTCATCATCAGCATGCACTGAGTGCATCCAACCGAATTCACAATTTAGGTTTTTCCAACTTTGCATATGCACATAAAACAATATTTTTCTTACAGACAACCGTTGATAAAATCCTCTCGCGAGATATTATTTATATAACGAGCTACAAATCTATATTTGTTACTTGGGTGATTTAATGAATTGGTTCAATTTTGAGAAACTTTTTATTTACTTCTAAATATATGTTGGCATTATACCAATTTTGCTTTATATATAATTAACTACCGTTCGCTATTTATTTACCTGATAAAAGACGGAGATTTATTTTTACTTTATTCGTTTATTACGCAGTTTAATTTTATGTTATATATTTATTCATTTTCCTTTTTATTGATTTTATTTTTATTTTTGATTTCATACGCGATGATATAATCTTTCGCTTTCGACTGATTAAAACTCAATATAATAGAGAAACATATGTTATTATTCTTTTTCAAGAGTAAATTCATTATGTTCATGGATCTTTAAATGCTTGAACATTTCCTTTTACTGCTTTCCAAGAATCGAGTTTATTGATTAGATACGTAAATATTTTAGTAAACATCTTTTGCAATTAAAAACACTACACAAAAAGATGTCGCAACCTGAAAAAAAATTTGTCTTGTCTCCCTTTCATGCTTTTTCGGAGGTCGCTTTTCATTGACACCACAATACAGAATTATCGCAGACATTTCTCAAATTATGTGTTGTGAATGGCATGAAATAACGTTTACCACTACACAAACAGCATTTTGGTAACATAAAACGCTAAAAATGCGATGTCGCAAATATTCTTCGCGTGTCTGTCTTGATGAAAGTACTTATACAAATGATTTTATTCAATTGCTTCTAGTTCGATCACTGGTGTTTCTTTCTCTCTGCCATTATAATCTCATTATAACATAATCGTCACATATTTTTAATATGGAAATTTCTTTTAATTTATTGGAAATTATCTCTTAATCAGTTCACATTTCCATACTGGAAAATAAATACACGCCAAGCAAAGGAACAAACAGTGAATGGAAACAAAATATTTGTTGACATTCTGTTCCCTCACAGGCAGTGACAGAAAGAACCTCACTGCAGTCAGAGGAAGTTTTAAACGAAATTACCTTCGAATTGTTTCGTTACTCGACCGTTCACTACTTAGGTAATAATCGGTAATAATCGTTCGATAAGTAGAAAAGGACTCACCTTCGAGCTTCATGCCGACCTCGAGGCACTTCTGAAAGCGGCAGTAGGGACACCGTTTCCGCTGCGTCTTGTCGATGTGACAGGACCTCTCAGCGACGCACGTGTAGACCTTCTTATTCTGGACGGTGCGCTTGAAGAATCCTTTACAGGACTCACAGGTGAGTAAACCGTAGTGATAACCGGACACCTTGTCGCCGCAGACGGGGCACAGCTCCTCGATGATGATATCCTTAGTGTCCGGGAAATCGGACGGGCAGGGTATCGAGCCGGTGACGATGCCGACCTGACCCAGTCCAGGATGGCACAAGGTACCGACGCCGGTCGGGACCGCACCGGCGGCAACGTTGCCACTTCCCGTGGCGGTGGCCGGTCCTCCGCCGCTGACCGTGGCGTTAGCCGAGCCTGGACCACCACCTCCGGCAGTACCGCCGCCGTTGCCACCGCCGCCGCCGTTACTCCCCGTTTGAGGAAAAAGACACGTGTAGACCTTTTTGTTGCTGCACGGTGAACCGTTGCGCTTGAAGAAATTTTTACAGTTCTCACACGTGAGCAGACCTTGCAGACCGAGCTGATAGTTGGATATGTTCTTGTGACCGCACATGGGGCACCGAAGATCTTCGAGAGGGGCGGAGTCGAAGAAGGCGGCCTCGAAACTGGACATACCCTGCGACTGTCCAGCCTGATTGTGAACCGACATTTGTTGCTGTTGTTGCTGCTGCTGCTGTGATTGAGACTGCGGCTGATGGCACATGGGCGATGGCGAGCTCTGCGCGCAACTGCTATATGCCGACGAGCCGTAATGCGGCTGCGGCTGTTGCTGCGGGGGCTGCTGCCCGGCGGCTTGCGGGCTGCCCTGCGGACTCAGGTGGAACGGCGACATGCTCAGGGATATCAGGCCCGAATGCTGCTCCATCTCCAATAACATATCACCCATGCGCGAGAAGCACCGCACGACGGACGGATGTGCTCACGTATCGGCACATATATCAAATGGGGCTATTTAAAATCCCCCCTCCCCCCCCCCACCCCCTCTCTCAGATGCGGCCGACGCGACGATACAAAACGTTCCTTTTGATTACTTTGTCTTCTCTCTCTCTCTCTCTCTCTCTCTCTCTCTCTATATATGTATTTTTTTTTTCAACGTTTCTCTTCTTGAAAGATCTTTTTATCGAATCTCTGGGCACGTTGCGAGCGAATATATCGTCGTGTACACTGATTAAGCTCAATTTCTTCGGGATGTTAATATATTACATCTGGGAATATAACTGGATATATTCGTGTCTATCTGTTCTGTTCAGTTTGTCATGTTCGCGGGACATCGCTCCCGATCCGTGATTGGCGATCGCGAGAGAACAATAATGCACCGGTTGTCTAATGTTTCGCAAAAAAGTAACCTGGAGCACCCTCGACGACGGTAACGATGACGTAGACGTGTCAAGAAAGAAAATGCCGGCACAATTCGTAGTACAGAGGAACAGAGTTGTACAGCGGGTGTACGCGGAAAGAGGGAACACACACTCGACTTTGGTTCCCTGTGGCACGAATAAGAATATCGATCACCAGTCACGCTCTCTTTCTTTCTCTCTCTCTCTCTCTCACACACACGCACGCACGCACACACACACATCCACGCGTGGATTACACACGTTTACCGAGTAAAATCATCGCGCACCAACAAACGTATATACGCGGGATACACAAAGTTGTCAGTCGGAGTCGACGGGACTACGTCCGAGGCATGATAACAATCGTCGAATGTATCCGCGTGAACATTCGCCACTGTCGAAACGGATCCAGTCGAGCGAAGAGGCAAACACCCCCAGGTGCCCCCTTTCAAGCCGTCGTCGTTTCCTCTCCTATCCGCACTGTAATCCAACTTATCGCTGAGCACGATGCGAATGACGAGACTCGCGTTGTACGGTGATGAATACGTCCATCCGCGTACACCAGTACCGCGTCCGGCGTGCACTACGGATGAAGGCAGATGGACGGACACACATGCGGCAGCGACCACACGAGGAGGTATATACGAATGAATGCACGACTGTCAACAAACACGGCGGGTCTACTACGTTACGTGCGACGTAATCGCGATCGTATTATCGCGAACGGAGGAAGGCGCGGAACACACGTACTATAATTCGGATGACTAATGTAGTACCGGCGAGCGAGCGAGCGAGCGAGCGAGCGAACGAACGATCGAACGAATGAACGAACGAGCGAGCGAGTGATCAACGAGAGTAGTCGACTCTAGTCGACTCGGAACCAACCAGAGTGACTTGACAGCTCGCCTATCTGCGTACGACTAGTTGTCCTCTCAGCTCGTTGCTTTCCCGAAGGGCCCGCCCCCTCCCCTCCGCTGCCCTACCGTCGGCACATGGAGTAGGTAGGTAGAGACCGCCGGGGAGGCCGCCTTTGCGAGACACACACGGCATACGTGACGTATCGCCGCGAGCGCGCGGTGGTAACAACGTCGTCAACGACGACGACGACGATGAGGACGACCCACGACTCACGACGTGCCTACGTCGTTCCCCTGTGGCGCGTCGTCCAGGTATGCCGGATTGCTGCTGCTGTCAGTATTCTTACGCCACAATCATCACTCCCTCATCTCACGATAACGCGCGACCGATTACACGTTTTTGTCAGCGGGCGCACTTCCGAAAACTGTACAGCGACGCGTGACGAGGAGCGAACGATCCGACGTTGTTTAGCAGGAGGACAGAAAGATGATGATGATGATGATGATGACAACGGGCAAGCACACGCCACTGACACGGACGGTCGGAAAATTGAACGAAACTGTGCCACGGAGAGCGGTGCCGAGGCGCGCACTACTGTCAGGCTCCTTCAGCGTTTCGGTGGGTATAGAGGAGAGAAGGCGCGCGTGTCCCTTTACCGACGGGCAGCGAGACGCCGAGAGGCGACGAGAAGGAGGAAACGAGAGAGAGAGTTAACGACGCGAGCGGAGCGAGCGAGACGCGCTGCGCGGAGTATAACCAACACAGCGCACGGCATAAGTGAAAGTGATTCAGCAGCGCATGCCACCGCGCGCCGCGGCGGCCAGGTAGGTATCCGACGCGGACGCGGTGTGGAGGTGCCGCCTGAGAGGTCTCTGGCGCGGGAGAGAGAGGGGCGAGTAGCACGCGGTCGCGCGCGGTGCGGCAGAGAGGAGGCGAGGCGGACGACGGTATTGCCGCGCCGAGCCGCGGTCGAAGGTACCGGTGGAGGGGACCGGAGGGGCACGCCGAGAAGGAGGTTGCGCGATCTGTGGCGGGGGATGACCTACTTACGGAACCAGGTCTATGTCGGCCGGAGAAATATTGTCCGCTCCGCGAGCGTCGCTCGCCTCGCCTCGTCTCGCCTCGCCTCGCCTCGCCTCGCCGCACCTCCTCTCCTCAAAGTTTCGTTACGCGCGACGAACACGCGTCTCTCGTATCCGGCCTCCGGCTCTTCAGGATCCAATTTTTTAATAGCGCAGATGATTTTTGAAAACGTATAATAGGGTTTAACTATCGGGCGTTATACGTGTATGCAAACGAGAAAAAAAAAAGAAAAAGAGGTATCTCTCACAGTATCCCGCCGTATCTCAAGACTGAGAAAGCAACCGGTCCTGCGAGTGACGTAAGACGCATTCCGTGAACATATCGGGGGTAGGACCGAGTAGTCTTTTTCTTTTTTTTTCGGCCTCTTCGCGCGTCTCGAGACAAGACGCGGGAGATCTGCTCGCGAGAGACAGAGAGGCAGAGAGACTGCGAGGGAGGGACGAGAGCGCGCGCGCGCGCGCGCGCCAAGTGCGAACCGTTCGCGGAGAGAAGCGACTTTTGCTTTCAAAGTGCAGGACGGGTGAACCGGCACTCGGCAGGAATATATCGTCAGGTAGAAGCGCGGCCGCGGGTAAGCGTTCGCGGGCACGAGACACGTACAGGCCGCACGGCTGGGTCAACAGCAACGCCGTTGGCACTCCCCGAGAGACAAGCACCAGCGCGGAGCGCCTCACACGGTGAGGCCTGTGTATGTGTGTGTGTACGGATATGTACGCGCATACGTGTGTATGTGAACGGTGGATGTGCGCGACGCGGAGCGCGGTGGGGAGACCTACTGACCCAGTTCGTTGAGAACATGACGCAGCCGCGACTCGCTCCCTCTCGTTACGTACACCGCGCTCCGTCTCCGTCTCTCTTCCTACTCCTCTCTCGTCCACCCGTCCGTCGCTCCTCTCGCTCGCTCTCGCTCTCATCCTCCCCTTTCGCCCCCGCTCTCGCCCTCGCCAACATCATCGTCGTCTCTTTCCCGCGGACCCTGTCCTTATCCCGCCGCCTCGCTCGTTTCGTCTTCCTCCACCGATGTGCGTGCGTCTTTCTTTCGCTTTATCCTCCTCCTTCGCGTCCCTTTACACCGCCTTCGTATACATATCTCTCGTACTGACGTTACTCTCTCTACCTCCAACGTGGAAAGCCGCGCGATGCCTCTTTCTCTCTTTCTGCCCAGTCCCTCCCCCCTCCCCCTCGCCACGCCGCGCCGCGCTCACTCTCACTTTCTCTCTTCCTCGCACGCGCCCCTCCCCCATTCCTCCCTTCTCCCGCATCCGACTCATTTATTCACTCGCCGTCTCTCGCACTCTTTCCCATACGAGTGACCGAGCGAGCGTTTCTGCTGTAAGCGCGTACATACGTATACAAATACACACACACACGCATTCACGCATACAACACGCGATCGCGCGCGTGCATATATATGAATGCACGTCTTGTGTCATCGTTGTCATCGCTTAGGGTGCACCAGGTTTCGAGATTAGGAGTACACCGCGGCGTCTGTACGTTGATCTCAAGATTTAGGCAAAATCATTCAAAAGCCGATATTCATAGTCGGTTCTTATTTTAATACCATCTTAACTCTCTCTGATTGGTTCGTGACATCTTAAGATTGTATTTGAGACAGTCTTATATACGAGAACTAACTGTGAATACGGACAGTCTATCGCGTCGCCGAAAAAAAGAAGAAAAAATTTATGAGAGATCGTCGCTTTCGGCAGCATCCGAGAATACGTAATAACGTGTCTACAGGAACACTACGAGAGAAATAATTCCGGGGAAACAAACACGTCTCCAACATCGATTCCATAATAGGAGCATTCTTATGATAACTATCGAGCGCCTGAAACAGCACCCGATTTGGTCCTCTGCACTCGCCCGCGTTTCCAAGCCACAACACGAAAGCCACATGAAAGCGTATATAGAAAGCTCGGTAAGGATTTGCGTAGCGGGATCGGTAGCAGTGCTTGGAAAAGCGAGGATGTAGGTAAAGAGAATGAAGCGCAACGTGATCGAAAGCAATAACGTTAATCTCAGAAAAAGAGCTCATTACGAAACACGCATCCATTCTTTCCTTCTGCGTTTGCTTATGTCGATTTTTATTGTAGATTAATTTTAATCTCGGCTTAACTTACTCTTTATCTTTTTCTAATTTCTAAAACTAAAAAAAAAGATGAAAAATTAATTAAACCGAGATTTAAATTACACTGGTAGAAACGAGAGTATAATTCTTAGAAAAGATAAAAAGTAAGTTGAATCGAGATTAAAGTCAATGTACAATGGTAGAAAAAAACATTTGTCGGTAAACACATGAAAATGATAAACACAACGCGGATTCGTCAATAGGAATAAAAAAAATGTAAGATAGTAATATAGCTGTAAAAAACAAAAGCAGTTAATGGTGCGTAGATTGTTCATACGCAAAAGAGTGTTTTTAATTGAAAGCTTCATAAATAAACTCTGATTCCTTGAAAAGGCGAACGTTTTCGATTTAGCTCTGAGTCATCTTCAGCGCCAGAATACAGAATTCATATTAATAAAAAGTTTTTCAAGTGCCATCTCATATTCCTTTTATAAATGAGTTTTTCAACGGCTGTTATTTACTTAAAATATCCATCGCGTTCAAAACATGAAATTTTCATAATGCCGTACAATCTATATTTTACGATGTTAAAACCATTTTGTGTGTAATTACTACAAAATGTTATGCCGTAACGACACAACATTTATGTCGACGCTATTAAATGATATTTAAAAAGCAGTATATTACAAGATTATATTTATATTGTTCAGATAACGTAATAAACTGCGCAAAATCCGTAACGACGTACGATCTGAACGTAAACGAGGGCTGTGAATCCCGCTGAAAAAATACACACGATCGATCGGACTTCCGTTCCTCATTGTACCGCAATGCTTCTAAACAGCGTCTGTGTCTTTTGTTCGAACCGGTGCGGATCGGAAGTGAGTACCTGCGTGAGCACACCGCGTTCGAGCGCACGCACGCACATTATTTTTACCGGATAGGTCGACCGGTTAAATGTCTACTTAAAAAAAAAAAAAAAAAAGAGGCCTCGATGGTGCGCTACCGCCGACGTAGCCGGCGACGCAGGTGGAATAAGAATTGTCGCGGGTGAAAAAGGGTCAAACGAAAGCGAAAAGGGCCCTCGGCGGCCAGCACAGAACGCGCTCGAAAGAACGGAACGGAAGAAGAAACGGAGGAAAGTGAAAGCCCATCCGCACGCCGCGACCCAGAAACTTTCAAAGTGTAAAATCGACGGCGCAACGCCGTGTTTGGCAGTCGCCATACGTACGAGCACGTCCGCGTCCGCAAACTAGAGATGCCCTCCGAATCTCTTTCTCTTTTTCCTTTTCCTTTTTCTTTTTTTTATCACAATTGTGTACCGCGATTGCGTTAAAATTGCGTGCACTCCCGGAGCGGAGTGTAGACAATTAACTGCAACGCGTCGCAGCGGAGAATCGGACGGAATCGGTTTCACTTTCGAGTGTCGCGTTTTCGGCACACAGTTGCACCGCGTTACGCAATGCGGCGTTCAGTATTACGGCATCGGGTGCAATTGCAGCGGGTCGGTTGTGAGTTGATAAAAAAGAGAAAAAGAGGAACAAGAAAAAGAGAAAAATGCCCCGTTCTTTATTCAAATAAGTTTCGTCAATTTGCAAAGTGTCACATTTGGTGTCACCGCCTTACGTAATACGGTCCAATTGCAAC